CTTTTTATAGTTTACTTCGGCTTCGTTGGGCAGCCTTTTTTGGGTGCTCCAACTTTAATTTTTTATTTCGGTTATTTTTAATTTTTTCCCCTGGGCATGTTTGCTACGTTTCATATTGCACTTTATTTTCTTCTCCTTTCTTTTTAATTTTGGCAACGTTCTTTTTGAAAAGAACGGTCCCTGGTCGGGCGACAGTTAAGTCGTCCCATATTGGGCGACTTTTACTTTATGCCCTGTCCGATATAGCAGTCGCTTTTCACGGAGTGAGTTGGGATGCCAACGGGTCAGCAACTTGTAGTGATTATACCCGTTACTCGAAGATTACAAGGGTATACTAGATTCGTTGAAAATTATGTAACTTGCAGAAGGAAACGTTTCCGACTATAGAAAGTATATATATTCTTCATCTTCATCTATCAGTCCGTCTGTCCTCGATCTCACCTCCTCTCACCTTCATATTTTATTTTTTCCCTACTTTTGACCGATATTTCAGAAAATTTTTGAAAATTCTTGTTTGCACTTCCACTAGCTGAGTAACGGGTATCTGATAGTCGGGGAACTCGATTATAGCATTTTATCTTGTTTTACAGTGGTAGAAGAGCAGGAGGGCGTAAGCGAAGAAGCATTGGTTTATTGCAGCACATATTACCGGTATGCAGAAGAAGGTGAACAGCGAATCGTCGGGCTTACTGGGCAGGGCAACCGCAGTGTCTTAACTTATATATAAGTTAACTAAAGCTAACGTCGCTCCCACGGGCGCATGAAATTCGACGACATCGGCATACTGCAACGTAAACATTAGGCCGGATGTCGTTACGTAGCCGGCAGACACTGCTTATTGCGTGGCCGCTACGCATATGAGATCGCAACAATATGTTTCGTTTTCATGCTAGCTCCTAAGTTTGAATTCTTGTATTTTATATTCAGTTCTCATGTTGCCTCCGACGCTACAGCTCCGCTTGGCTCGGTATAATAAAGCTTAAAAAGTAAACTCCTAATCTTTTATTGTCACGGCTCCGCCAGACGTCTGATTATTAAAACATCAAACATCAAGTCCAACAACAAAAACAAGTGCTTGTGACCACTGTTGCTTACAACAGAACAATCTGACAAGTGGCTGCTGCTGACTTACGTCAACACAGGCAGCACAGCGGAAACGTCATTGAAATCGCCTCTTGAGTGCAGTTGGCTGAGGTGCGCTATAGCGCAAATTTAATTTCACGTAACACCGAAGCCGCTGGAGCCCTTCGGGCAGCGACTTATCGCCTGATTAGCGCGCAAGTTATCTGGACAGCGGGGAGGCAGAGACAATCAGTGTACAACAACAGACACCGACTTCAGTTTGGGACGCAACACAACACCAAAAAATGTAAGTGGGCTCCTTTCATTAAACTGCTCTTAAACCTGCGAAATAAAAATAAGCACAGTTTTTGCAAGTGTCTTGTCTTAAATGTAATTAAATAGTAATAAGTTTTAAAATACGTGAAACTAGTAGTGGATTAAGTTGACGGAAAATAGTAAACTATTGGCAGCAAAAATATATAAACATTTGTTGAATAATTACTAAAAGCGGCGCACCAAACGCATGCGCGCACAAATATTTTTTTCCGTCTGCCTTTGTTTCGTTTGTTTTGTTTGGTCATTCAACGTAATACGATCCGTGGAATTTTGCAACTTTGTTGCCTCCATCCTCAAGCGTTGTGTTCGAGTTTTCGTTGTTTATATTAGAGGCATATGACTTCACCCTTCCTCTTCTATAGAACCACTCGCCGACAGTGTAGTGATTCTGACTCTGATTGCGACAATCATCGCATTCGCTTTCCAGTGCCAAGACGCACACCCTCACCCCCACCTCGTCCTACAGACAGCGTCATGGACCCAGTTGAGACTCATAATACAGGCAGCTGTCACCGCCGCCTTAGCTGAACAAGCCGCTGCAAATAAGGCCTTGCTTGACAAAGTCAACTCAATGTTTCAGCAGCTGGCAGCAGCGCACATTACGCCACCAGAGGTGCAAGCTAATGCACCCATAGAGATAAGAAATGATATCCGCTGCGACGAGCAATTGGGTGCCGTCAAATGCTTGCCCGAGTTTGCAGGCGCACATGAATCGTATGTTTCATGGAGACAGGCGGCTCTCGCAGCCTATCGTATTTTTAAGCCGTACGACGGCAGTTCACGCCATTATCAGATGGTTACAATTATAAGAAACAAAATCAGGGGGGCCGCGGACGTTGTTCTAGCCTCTTTCGGCACAGTACTTAACTTTGACGCGATTATAGGTCGCCTCGACTTCACGTACAGCGACAAACGTCCAGTTCATGTAATCGAGCAGGAGTTGGGCACGCTGAGACAAGGCAGCATGTCTCTACTGCAATATTACGATGAAGTCGGCAAAAAACTTACATTGTTGACTAATAAAGTCAACATGTCATACGATCCGGTCCTAGCAAAGGGCCTGTGTGAAAGGTTCCGCGAAGATGCACTACGTGTGTTTGTTTCGGGACTCAAACGTAGTCTCACAGATGTGCTGTTTTCAGCAAAGCCAAGGGACTTGCCGTCAGCTCTGGCGCTCGCGCAAGAGGTGGAATCGAACCATGAAAGATATGCGTTCGCTGCCAACTTCGCGAGGAGCATTGAAGAAAGAGAACACAAGGCAAGTGCCCAGCAGCGGGTCAAAACACCCCAACAAGCAGAAGCGCAGGCAAGCGGGTCAAAGAACCCACATTTTAGTAGGCAGAACAGGCAGCAAGGCCAATCCGGCCAGCGAAATGCCGAGCAGCAAACTCGCGCCAGTGCTCCAGAACCAGTGGAGGTGGACCCTTCGCTGTCAAAATTTAGACAGCCCATCCAGGCCTCCGCTGGCGTCAGCAAGCGGTCGGCCATGTCCGATCGCTCTAACGGAAGGGGCAAGCAACAAAGGGTGAATCATGTAACCCAAAATGCAGGGGCAGAACTCGTACGCCGAAGCCGCCAACGGCGCTGTGGCGCAGATCGAGGACGATGCCGAAAGCGATTCTGACGCCCTCTGACCGACAAAAAGTTTTTCCTCACTTGCGTCGACAAGTTTTCTAAATTTGCCGTCGTGCAACCTATCGCCTCGAGAACTATTGAGGACCTGAAGCCAGCACTGCTTCAGCTCATGAACTTTTTCCCAAGGGCAAAGACCATTTATTGCGACAACTAACCTTCGTTGAAGTCGCACACGATCGTGTCCATGCTGTGTAACAACTTTGGTGTAAGCGTTACAAACGCACCACCACTGCACAGCACCTCCAACGGGCAGGTGGAGCGTTTCCATAGCACATTACTGGAGCTAGCCAGATGCATAAGGATAGACAAGGGCATGAGTGATACGGTCGAGATAGTAATGTTGGCCACTACCCAGTATAACAAGTCGATTCACTCGGTCATCAACAGGAGACCGGCTGACATCGTCCTAATACACCCTGATGAGCCACAGGTAGAGATCCACAGTAGGATCCAGAAAGCTCAAACTCCGCTAAGGGCCAGAGAAAACGCCTCGCGGCAAAATAGGATATTCGATGTTGGCGAAAAGGTGTGGGAAAAATCCAACCGAAGACTCGGCAACAAGCTCACGCCGTTGTGCGAAGAAAGAGCTGTAGAAGCGGACATAGGGACCACGGTCCTTATTGAGGGGAGGGTGGTCCATAAGGACAATTTAAAATGACGCGCCCAGTAGCGAGGTCAGTGTACCGCTTAATTTTAAATTCTTTTAGCCACTTGGCGTAATTTTTAATAGATCTAAGAGTAGCGCCATCTGTGCACATCATATTCTTAAGCATTTTTATTATTATTGGTGTTGGGTTCCCCCTTGTCTACAGAACAGAAAAATCAATCATTCAAACTTTCACCCACAGGACCAACCTTATCCTTCTCGTATCTCTATCATTGGCATCGGCTCACATCACCGATTATTCGCGCGCCAAATACAATCCCATAGTCGATGGCCAAATCTTGGTGTGGGAGAATTCCGCCTACGTGAGGCACTCCGAGAATCTTTCGGAGTACGCACGTGTGGTAGAGGTCAGTCTGCTTGATCACTTCCCGCAGTCACACATGAGAAATTTGCTGAATGTAGATTCAGCACACCTCCGGGACTTGCTGGATGCGCTGGGCGCGCACCATCGAGTGGCCAGAAGTTTGGACTTCCTGGGCTCCATACTAAAGGTTGTAGCCGGCACACCTGATGCCAGCGATTTGCAAAACAGTAGGGTCGTAGAGGCGCGATTAAACGACGCAAACAATAGGCAAATAGAAATTAATACAAAAATCCAGAGTCAAATTAATAAACAAACTGCCACTGCTCGCGAGAAATAGAATGATCATGATGGAACTTCAGAATTTAATGTTGGCCGTGACACTTGCAAAAATGAACATTGTTAGCCCAAATATTCTTGATCAAATCTGCGTGAAGTTCAGTTTGGCTAGAGGAGCCCATCAACACCCCCATAGGGGACCTCATGTCCGTATCGTCCGTAAAAGTTCTGCAGTCCAATAACGCATTACACTTTATCATTAAATTTCCGGTAATTAAGTTCGCTTGTAAGAAAATTACTATTTTCCCCGTCAGTCACGAAGGAGCCATGCTACGTTTAGATGATGGCGTTATCGCAGAGTGCGACAACGAGATCTACACCGTCAAAACTTGCACCGCATCAACCAGCGCCAACTTCTGTCAGCTATCATCAGGCAGCTCATGGGCGAAAGAACTTCATGCAGGCGGCGCGGCGCTCTGTGAAATGCAACCCAGCAGCCTGGATCCCATCACCTATGTAGATGAGGGGATCGTTTAGTTAACTAAAGCCAACGTCCCTCCCACGGGCGCATGAAATACGACGACATCGGTATACTGCAACGTAAGCATTAGGCCGGATGTCGTTACGTAGCCGGCAGACACTGCTTATTGCGTGGCCGCTACGAATATGAGATCGCAACAATATGTTTCGTTTTCATGTTTTCAGCTCTTATGTTAACAAACGCCACATCCTTCGCTTTCCCCTTCACGCAAAGCCGTCATCTTCGCAACCTGGTTCGTGGTCTCCGTCAGTTTTTTCGTGTTCGCTTCCATTGCGTTTTCCAAGGTCTGAATCCGTTGGCTTAGCTAGTCCAATTGGTCGACATGTGGTACCTTCTATGGGCAGGCTTCCATAACAAATTGGTCTTCTATTAAATTAAAATTGTATTAATATAAAAATGAAATAGATTTGATTTTATTCGGTTCATTTACCAACAAGAGAGAGCATTTGGCTGAGCTTAATGCTGGTTGTGTGCTCTGCATACTTCTTCACAAATAACTATTAAAATTATTAATTATTATAGGCTTTATCATAAAAGTATCAGAAAAAATAATTTGCTTACCACTAAAAAGTTCACAACAAAAAGCGACTCACATTAAAAAAAAAAATTGCGTCACATTAAAAAATTGATTTAAAAATATCGCGATAAAAACAATTCTTTGATTTTAGCTAAATTACTAGATTTTTCTAAGCACGATATTCTTAAAGCAATATTTTCATGCTGCGCAACTTTATGAAAACTTTGTTTATCGCGCCATATATTCAAACAATAATTTTGATTGACAACAGATTTTTGTTTTGTAATTTGTTTGCGCGATTTATTAAAACAAAATTGTTTATGCAGCCCCATTTTTATTTTGTAAATTTGAGGTTGACGAAAACTTTTATAAAAATAAGACATTTCTAAACCAAAATTCAAAGTTTTCGTTGTTGTTATGGGGGCATTCACTGAATTGGTACAAATACACAAAAAAAATAAAGACGCATGAAAACTTTATCTTTAAAACACGTGGGCCATTTTGAATTTTGATTTGGACTTGACCGTGACTAGTTTTATTATTGTAATAATAGCCGAATTTACCTCCGATAAGGTTCTTCTTTTTTACATACACGTACATACTTTTCACAAAGTCAACTAGTTCGGAACACAATTTGCTATGGTAATGTACATATTTTTTTATTCGAAGTACTTTACTTACCTGATTCATATAATGGGTTCTAATTTCTTCTTTATTTTCTATAATCAATAGGTTTAGAATTTCTGTTCCACGGTAACGTTACAAGTCGGAACACTGTATAATTATTCGTGGATAATATTCTTTGTTTAATTTGAATTACAAGTTTTATTTCGGCCTCTAGGTCTGTGTTGAGCTAATAAGCTTTTTTATAAGCTTTTTTTCCGAAATAAAAAGACGTTTTCTTTGTAGCGATTTTGAACAATTATGATGTATTTCTTTTAGCGAAGTTTGGCATCGATGCGCGCATGCACAGGTTACGGAAGCGAGTGTTGACTTAATTGCAGAGCGAACAGCAGAACGCAAAGGCAAATATGCAGGCGCGAGGGGAATAGAGAGGGCGATATAGGAGAGAGCTTAGCTGCTCACGCAACTGCTCTGTATAGATAACGAAAGCTGATGTGCCGTAGGGACTAATTGTTTCTCCAATGTTGGTCATAAACAAAGTCATAAATTTAGCAACTGCTGGCGGCTGCGAGACCCGCAGTTCAACGTCCACTTCATGGACGGCAAGTTTTCATCATTAACGAGGACCATGTCATCCACAACCCAGGATTGGAAGTGCTTCGGTCCCTACTGCAGTAAGGTTAATTACTCTTCCTTTCATCGGAAACAGAAAATCTGCTGCAGGTAGGCATTGCGCTGTCAGCTATCCAAACATCTGGCGATGAAGGCGGGCCATCGTTCAAAAAATGCGCTGGAGCTAAAACATCAAAATCAACAGGGCTTTATGAAATTGATACTAAAGGTTGAACATTAACTACCGCAGATATGTGACAAAAAAGGGTTCTCAGCTTAGCGAAGGTCAGAATGGAAGAGCCCACAGCACAGTAAAAAGTCTTCACTGCAGCCTCCCAAAGACCACAAAAGTAAGGTGATCGAGGAGGAATAAACCGACAATCGATTTAGTGTGGTCGTCGCTGAGGAATAGACGTCTCAATTTAAGCAACTCGTTCTTCGCGCCAACAAAGTTCCATTGTCGGACCAAATTTTTCGTGGCCTCCTTCTTGTGCATATGAACCGTTTAAGGCCGTGCAAGAAAGTAACTATAGGGAGATCTTTTATGAGCTCCAAGTGTATCGCCTTGGTTGCAAAGCAAAAAAAAAAAACGCACATGTAGCATTTTACATGAGCCTTATTGCGCGCCTCAGGCTTGTACAAAAAAAGGTCTGGTGGCAGTGACTTCAACCGCATGAGACCTATCGAGCCGCTCCTTTAGTAGATCCGCCACTATGTGCTCAGTTAAGCGAGGTTTCGTTCGAAAACACCTAACTCTCGGTTTTCCTCCCCCCAATTGGCCAATATTAGGATAGAATTATGCTAAGAAGAGCACGAGGACCAGTATGTAGGTTGCGATCATGAGCGTGATTTATAATGGCCATAGTAACTGGGTGATCTTTCGGTAGGTATTCGGTAGGTGATGGGATGGAGGCCATTGAATTCCAACGGAGAGTTCTTCAGCCGAGCATAATGCAAGAGGCAAGTAAGGCTGTACTACTCTTTTGGTCTGCAAGAATTTTATGTCATTCCACAAATGAGCCCGCTGAAACAGACGCAGCAACAAATAAGTCCCAATTTGAGTATCAGTAAGACCAGGATGTCGAACGCGTTTGCAAAACTTATAAACGTAAACGTAAACTTATAAAGCAAATTAATTCGCATATTTGGTGCAAGATACAATATCAGTATACGGAGATTTAGCAGCAAGACTTTTCGAAGAAGTTCCAGTGTTGACTTCTCTGTTAATACTGTTTGTGGCCAATCAGTTATGGGCTACTCAGAAAGGGCGGTCCATGGGCCAACAGAAGAGACTCATTAAGCTCGGCGGGAAGAATATCTCCTTGTGAAAGAATATCTGTCGAATTTAAAGCAGTTGGCATGCAGCGGCATTCCATTGTACCGGTCAATTCCTGAATTGCAGCTATTCGGTGTGCTGCAAACACGTTGAATCTTGATGGCACCACAGTTGAGCCGCACCATCAGTAGAATTTCAATTTACATACTTCCGCTATAAGTCGAGCTAGAAGTTCTGTTCCGCAAAGCTCAAGTATTGGCTCTGTTAGGGCTTTTAAAGGAGCCGCTTGAGACTTAGAACAAAGTAAGTGGCTGCTGGTCGATTGTCTCCCAGAAACGACATATATGACATATTGCCATTCTAAATCTTTCGCCGAAGGAAGGCGTTCGTTCCAGGACAACTTTTCCTTGCACTGCAGCTGAAGGGCCAACCAAACTAAGCGATTATAAAATCGGGCGATTATGGATAACACTGAACATCAGGCAAGGTCTGTTGTTGTTGGATCCCAGGCGAGACCAAGCGTTTTTGAAAAATCGCCTATATCGTCAAACTTCAAGAAGAACTCCTTATCATCTTCCGAAACTCCGAAACGGTACATTTGAACACCATTTCCTTTGTTTGAAATTGCCTCTGGACAAGAGTGTCTCTTCTTTGGAGCTGGCGCCAGGTATCAAATCATCCCGACGAATGATTCTTCTTCTGGAACTGCTGACATATGTCCCATATGGAAATAATTCCAAATGAAAGCCTTGTATTGGACCTTGACGGCTGGACGATGCTTTAGTTTTCTCTAAAGAGAATGCATAGCTTGCTGCTTAGACTCCCCCAAACGATATAAATTTAACTTGTCTGGCAATCAAAGGAAATAATCCTCAGTAGGCAAGACAGTAAAATGTTTAACAAAATGAGCTTCACAGTCAAGCTCTTTCTTACTAGCACGCAGCTCATCAGGACGATCCAGTTTTGTTTTTTCATTGGGCGGAAGAACCGCGCACGACGATATTAAAGCCTTGCTATGGGGCAAGTGGAGCCTCCGGAAACAACAGAGCCTAAGTGAGTCTATTGAATTAGAGGCGCTCCCGGCAGAAGCTTGACTTGCAACGCGCTAAGGGCGATTGAAATCTGGATCCGCGAGCTTAAGGTCTTGGGGTATGATTCAGTTACAAACGTCGATGATAAAAGCTAGGCTGATGTTCGGTTATATTGGAAGCAATAACAGCAGGGATGGCAATAAAGTATTCGGAGTTTCGAGATTGTTAAGTTAACTGACTAGCCATCTGTCTCGAAACTAGAGTTACATTTTCCGGTAACACAAGCGGACGATTCTGTTTTCTTAAGTTGAAGCGGATTTACAAATCGGGACGTTATTAAGTGTAGCTGGGAGCCCGAGTCGAGTACAGCACGGCAAGAAACAAAGGTTCCTGAATGGTTTTTTACTAACACAGTGGCAGTGGCTAGGAGTACCACATCTTTGCTTAAATCGTGCGCAATAAGAGCTGAAGATGGGCCAGGCAATTCAGAGGGTTCTGTGGCATGATTAAATGAATCTGAGGCCATCGTTTCAGTAAGCTGAAATCTTTCGTAGATCTTTCGAAAACGAGGCAAAGGTTCCCAAGTGAAGCAGAGTGTGGTGCTTAGGTCCGCAGGAGCGGCAATGACCGGAGTTGCACTGCCTCAATTGATGGCCAGTCTTAAGGCAATTTATACAAAGAGTCAGCCTTTTTGCTTTTCGAAATCGACTTGCTGGATTTAGGTTCTTAAAGCTCTGACAATACTGAATTGAGTGCCCCGAAGCATTACAGAAAGCAAATGTAAGAAGGTTAAGATTTGTGGCAAGAACGACTGACCTACTTATATTAGATGTGCAATTAGCGCCCATCTGGCTGTCTGCATCGCTGCTTCAGAAATGATTTCATGGATTCCCACGTTGGAATTAAATTACGCAGAGCGGGGTCCTCCAAATGCTACTCCCATTTGGCATGACTCGCCGGACCCAGCTTTTGGACAAGTACTTGGACTGTAATGCATCCAGGAATTTGTTCCGTTGTACCCAATCCATTTAGAGGAAATTCACAAAGCATTGAAACGGAACCACTGCCCTTAGCTCCAGAATCTCGGTGGCATGAGCCGAAAAATTTCCAGTGAGCTATCTATAATTGTAGTTAACATAGAATAGAAATCCAGCCAATTAGCATAGCCTCCAGCGGTAGCTTAAAAGGTAGCATGCTAATGGCCGCAATCACACGGAGGAATGCCATCAGCAAAGGTTGAGTTTGCGAGGTGCGCTTCGAAATCTTCCCCCGAACTGAGGATTTAAGGGTTACAAGAACATCATAAAATTTTTCACTCATATTACTTTGAATTTTGTCCAAATTTAGGCTCGCTCAGAATTTTCCTAAATGTTTGTTGTAGTTTAACGATCACCTCCAGCCTCACATGAAGAACGAAATCGTCAAACGAAGTTTTGATAAGGAATCCGATAATCGATCCACTCTTTTATAAATTGCAGTCACCTTGCGCCTTAAAAATGTCACCCTGTATGTAGCAGCTGTTACTTTTCCAGAAATAAAGCGGGAAGATTAACGTAAAAAGAATTAGCGGAAGCTTTCGTTACTTGTGCTCTCCAAATATAACTTCTTTGTATGATTTGTACTATATATTGTGCACGTCGGGGTCATCAAAATGATGAGCTAATTAGGTTTTTTTGGCAATATTAATTTAATAAGTTTGGCAAAGAAACTTTCCGCTATGCTCGCCATGTGGGTATAAAGAAGACTAAGGTCTTTGTTAACAATAGATTCATTTCGGCATTTGGGTATCCTGTGTCTATTTTGTTTTGGTTAAAGTTTATTAATCCTTTAATAATTTCTTGTTTTTAAATAATATGGGCTGTGATCTCCTTAAATCTCACTAGTGTTGCGTTTTGATATTTCGCGGCAATTTCCGCACTTTTTCCTAGTTGTTTTAGTTCTTCGTCAGTGGCATCCATGGTGCCGCTGACTGCTTTCAATAGATCCCTCTTCGATCTCGTATTACCATTACTAGCTTTTGTTCTATCTGTTTTAATTTCTTAAGCAATAACGTCCATATCGCAGCGATATTTTATTGGTCCGAAAGGTTTATGATTAGTTTGTGAAGTTTGTCAGTGGTAACCTCGTATTCTTCGAAGTGGCTTAGATGTTTGATGGTCGTGAATGACGTTATAGTCCGGACCGTCCCTATGTTGAGTTTTACGAGGACTTGTTCCCCATTTAGTCTATATAGTTCTACACCGTTCCCTAATGTCC